TTAGGGTTAGAGGTAATCATTAGAGTTGGGGTTAGAGGTAATCATTAGGGTTGGAGTTAGAGGTAATCATTAGGGATGGGGTTAGAGGTAATCATTAGGGTTGGAGTTAGAGGCAATCATTAGGGATGGGGTTAGAGGCAATCATTAGGGATGGGGTTAGAGGTAATCATTAGGGATGGGGTTAGAGGTAATCATTAGGGATGTGGTTAGAGGTAATCATTAGGGTTAGAGGCAATCATTAGGGTTAGAGGTAATCATTAGGGTTGGAGTTAGAGGTAATCATTAGGGATGGGGTTAGAGGTAATCATTAGGGATGGGGTTAGAGGTAATCATTAGGGATGGGGTTAGAGGTAATCTTTAGGGTTGGAGGTAATCATTAGGGATGGGGTTAGAGGTAATCATTAGGGTTAGAGGTAATCATTAGGGTTAGAGGTAATCATTAGGGTTGGGGTTAGAGGTAATCATTAGAGTTAGAGGTAATCATTAGGGTTAGAGGTAATCATTAGGGTTGGGGTTAGAGGTAATCATTAGGGATGGGGTTAGAGGTAATCATTAGGGATGGGGTTAGAGGTAATCATTAGGGATGGGGTTAGAGGTAATCATTAGGTTTGGGGTTACAGGCAATCATTAACCACTTGCCCTCCTGAGGATTTACCCCCCTTAATGACCAGGCCTCTTTTTGCTACTCGGCGCTGCACTAATTCAACTGATAATTGCGCAGTCATACAATGCTGCACCCAAACAAAATTTATGTCCTTTTTTTCACACAAATAGAGCTTTCTTTCGGTGGTATTTGATCACCTGTGTGCTTTTTATTTTTCACGCTATTAACAAAAAGAGACCAAATATTTTGAAGAAAAACAATATTTTTTACTTTCAGCTATAAAAAATATATAGTAGACTCAAAGTTGGTTATAAATTTAGGCCCAAATGTATTCTGCTCCATGTTTTTGGTAAAAAAAATCCCAATAAGTGTATATTGATTGCTTTGTGTGGAAGTTATAGCGTCTACAAACTATGGTATAGATACTGCAATTTACAAAATTTTTTTGCTATACAGCGCTGCGCTAGTTTAACGGACAATTGCGTGGTCATGCAATACGGTACATAAATGAAATTTATGTCCTTTTTTTAACACATATAGAGCATTGTTTTGGTGGTAACTTAAATCAAGGAATGCGCTAAAACCACAAACTATTCCTAATTTAGTGTAGAAACATTAGTGCAAAAGATATATATATCTATTATCAATTAATATCAAAAAATATCAAAATTATGTGCAAAACATAAGTAATTTAAATAATTAAGTTTGTGAATATAAAAAAAAACAAAAATGTCCAATTCTGAATTTCTTCAAATGTCCAAATAAATCCTTTCCAAATTCAGGTGCTCTCAAAGAAATTGTGCCAAAATCCACCACCAAAAGTAAAGTTGGGTAACTCACCAGAGCTCCATGCTGATCAATCTCTAGATCAGCAAAAAACGCTTTTTGCTCTGGGAGCAGATGAAATGAATCAACTTCTCAGGTGTGATGATCAATAGCTACACATTCATCCATAAGGTAGGTATCCACCACTCAATATAATGGTTCCAGGAGCATTATATCACTCTCTCTTTTTATATCTCTCCACCGAGGTCATGTTTGGGAATGAAAGAGAAAAATCATGGTGCAGCCAGTTTTTTTTTTATAAAAGTATCCAACAATTTAATAAAGATTTACACTCACAAAAAGGGTGTCTTCACCGACACCAGTATAACAGCATAAAACAGCAAATGGTATAACAGTCTCCTGTTCCCCGTACACTCACTACAGCGCTCGTGACTTAATTTTCTCCACAAACGTCAGCATCCAGTAAGCCCTACTAGTTTCGTCATGAATGACGTCTTCAAGGGGCGGTCTGAGACCGCCCCTTGAAGACGTCATTCATGACGAAACTAGTAGGGCTTACTGGATGCTGACGTTTGTGGAGAAAATTAAGTCACGAGCGCTGTAGTGAGTGTACGGGGAACAGGAGACTGTTATACCATTTGCTGTTTTATGCTGTTATACTGGTGTCGGTGAAGACACCCTTTTTGTGAGTGTAAATCTTTATTAAATTGTTGGATACTTTTATAAAAAGAACTGGCTGCACCATGATTTTTCTCTTTCATTCCCAAACATGACCTCGGTGGAGAGATATAAAAAGAGAGAGTGATATAATGCTCCTGGAACCATTATATTGAGTGGTGGATACCTACCTTATGGATGAATGTGTAGCTATTGATCATCACACCTGAGAAGTTGATTCATTTCATCTGCTCCCAGAGCAAAAAGCGTTTTTTTTGCTGATCTAGAGATTGATCAGCATGGAGCTCTGGTGAGTTACCCAACTTTACTTTTGGTGGTGGATTTTGGCACAATTTCTTTGAGAGCACCTGAATTTGGAAAGGATTTATTTGGACATTTGAAGAAATTCAGAATTGGACATTTTTGTTTTTTTTATATTCACAAACTTAATTATTTAAATTACTTATGTTTTGCACATAATTTTGATATTTTTTGATATTAATTGATAATAGATATATATATCTTTTGCACTAATGTTTCTACACTAAATTAGGAATAGTTTGTGGTTTTAGCGCATTCCTTGATTTAAGTTATAGCACTAAGAAATTTATTTGGTTTCTTTGAGGTGGAATTGCTGCTTTAAAGTATTAAGGGTGTGGCGCTTTTATTACACTTGTGATATTGTTTTGGTGGTATTTGATCACCTGTGCAATTTTTATTTTTGGCGCTATAACCAGAAAAATTTTTGAAAAAAAAAATATTTTTTTGAAAAAAAACAATATTTTCTCATTTTGGTCATAAAAAATATCTAAAAAAAATAGAATTTTGTCATAAATTTAGGCCAAAATGTATTCTGCTACATGTTTTTGGTTAAAAAATCCCAAGAAGTGTATATTGATTGCTTTTTGTGAAAGTTATAGCATCTACAAACTATGGTATTGATAATGGAATTTACACAGCTTTTTACTTTCTGACTGCCCATCACATTTCTTGAGGTGCTAAAATACCAGAATAGTACAAACACCCTCAAATGACCCCTTTATGGAAATTAGACACCCTAAGCTATCTGCTGAGAGGCATATTGAGTCCATGGAAGATTTATTTTTTTTTCCACAAGTTTCTGGAAAATGACAAAAACTTTTTTTTTTTTTTTACACAAAGTTGTCATTTAAAATTATTTATTTCTCGCACAAGCCATGGGTATATATGTGGAATTACACCCCAAAATACATTCTGCTACTTCTACTGAGTATGGGGATACCACATGTGTGAGACTTTTTGGGAGCCTAGCCACATACAGGAGCCTGAAATCCAATGACCACTTTGAAAGCCTGAAGGTGTGTAACTTCCTCATTACACTTCCTCACTACCTATCACAGTTTTGAAGGCCCTGACATGCCAGGATAGCACCAAACCCCCCCCCCCCCAAATGACCCCTTTCTGGAAAGTAGACACTCCAAGGAATTTAAAAAGAGGCATGGTGAGTATTTTGCAGATTTCATTTTTTTTTTTCACAAGGTTTTGAAATATAAAAAAAATAGAAAGAATATGTTTTAGTTTTTTTTCTTCATTTTCCAAAAACCTGTGGCAACAAATGAGATCTGCAAAATACTTACTGTGCTTTTCATCAAATTCCTTGGGGCATCTACTTTCCAAAAAGGGGTAATTTGGGGGGTTAGGTGCTATCCTGGCATTTCATGGCCTCCGAAACTGTGATAGGTAGTCTGGAAGTGTAATGAGGAAATAAAGCCCTTTAGAAGCCTGAAGGTGCTTATTGGATTTTTGGGGTCCTGTACTTGGCTAGGCTGCCAAAAAGTCTCTCACATGTGGTACCCCCCATACTCGGGAGAGGTAGCAGAATGTATTTTGGGGAGCAATTCCACATATAACCATGGCATGTGTGAGCAGTAAATCATTTAAGTGACAATTTTGTGTAAAGAAAAAAAAATATTTATTTTTGTCATTTTCAAAAAACTTGTAAAAAAATTAATTCTTCTATTGATTCAATATGCTTCTCAGCAAATAGTTTGGGGTGTCTACTTTCCAAAAAGGGGTCATTTTGGGGGGTGGGGGGCGTTTTATGCCAGGCATTAGAAGTTTATGCCACACATCATTCACTCTTCTAACCACCTGAAGACCAAGCCTTTTTGTTCACATGAAAAAAAATCAATATTTTTTGCTAGGAAATTAATTTAAACCCCCAAAACATTATATATTTTTTTAAAGCAGACACCCTAGTGAATAAAATGGTGGGTACTACAATTTTTTATGGCACATAGTACTCGCGCAGCGATTTTTCAAAAGCAATTTTTTTTTAAAAATACACTTTTTTTACTTTTAATGCACAAAAACACCATATATTGGCCAATTGTTTGGTAAAATATAAAAGATGATGGTATGCCGAGTAAATAGATACCAAACATGACATGCTTTTAAAATTGTGCATGCCCCGTTCAATGGCGACAAACTGCAAATATTTTTAATATCCATAGGTAGCGCTTTAAAAGCCTTTAAAAGCCACCATTTTAGATTTAGAGAGGAGGTCTAGTGTTAGAATTACTGCCCTTGATGATTGACGTTCACGGCAATACCTCACATGCATGGTGCAACCAATGTTTACATAACGGCACAGGGTCAAGGTTTGTGCACACAGGTGTGCGCGCATGGGAGGGGCATTTGTTTTTTTTTTTTTTTTCTATTATTATTTTTTTTTACATTGTACCTTTTTTTTTTTTTTTTTTATCCCCTTTAATGCTATAACAGGGAATGCAAATAACTCCTATGACTTCAATGGGCATTGTCATATATTCTTTTTTCAGAAATCTGGGGTCTATCAGACTCTGGATATCTCCTCTGCCCTTACATTATCTAATCAAACCAAAATCGGTGTGATCAGATACTTTCCCAATTTACAAATGGCGCTGTTTATATCCTGCGAAACTGAAGTGATGAAATGCTTGTAGCTTCTGAATTCTTAGACTATAGAGATGATTGGCACCATTCTGGTCTCCAATCAGCTCTATGGTCAGCTGGCAGAAAACACCGGCTGCATTCTCAGGTTCCCCTGATGGCACGGGACTGCCCGAGAAGGCCGTGGAAGGCAGCGGGGGAGGGGGGGGATATCATCTCCCACTGCTTGTAAAAGCAATCTTGCAGGTAATTAGCCACTAGGATTGCTTTTACATGAAAGCCGATCACCGGCTGAAAAAAAAACGACACCAGGATCATGCCTGCAGCTGTAGACATCATCCTGGTATAACCATTCAAATCCAGTGATGTACCAGTACATCGCTGGTCCTTGTTGGTTATATACAGTTGCAAGAAAAAGTATGTGAACCCCTTGGGATTACGTGGAGTTTTGCATGAATTGGGCATAAAATGTGCTCTGAACGTCATCTAAGTCACAACAACAGAAGAACACAGTCTGCTGAACATATATACTACACAAACATTAGATGTTGCCATGGTTTAATTGCACATAACATGTAAACATTCACAATGCAGGGAGGAAAAAGTATGTGAGGCCCTAGCTTAATCAGCTAATTGGGGCCAGGAGTGAGCCAACCTTGACTCCAATCAGTGCGATGATATTCGCAGAAAAGAGCTCTCAGAAGACCTACGATCAAGAATTGTTGACTTTCATGAAGCTGGAAAGGGTTACAAAAGTATCTCCAAAAGCCTTTGATGTTCATGTGTCCACGGTAAGAAGACAGACTGTCTACAAATGGAGAAAGTTTAGCACTGTTGCTACTCTCCCTAGCCGTGGTCATCCTGTAAAAATGACTGCAAGAGCACAGCGCAGAATGCTGCATGAGGTAAAGAAGAATCCCAGAGTGTCAGCTAAAGACCTACAGAAATCTCTGGCACATGCTAACATTTTTTGTTGACACATCTACAATAAGGAAAACATTAAACAAGAATGGAGTACATGGGAGGACACCACGGAGGAAGACATTGCTGTCCAAAAAGAACATTGCAGCACGTTTGAAGTTTGCAAAAGAGCACCTGGATGTTCCACAGCACTACTGGCAAAATATACTGTGGACAGATGAAACCAAGATTGAGTTGTTTGGGAAGAACACACAACACTATATGTGGAGAAAAAAATGCACAGCACACCAACATCAAAACCTCATCCCCACTGTAAAACATGGCGGAGGGAGCATCATGGTTTGGGGCTGCTTTGCTGCCTCAGGGCCTGGACGGATTGTTGTCATTGATGGGAAAATGAATTCCAGAGTTTATCAAGACATTTTGCAGGAAACCGTACGACCATCTGTCCGCCAACTGAAGCTCCGCAGAGGATGGGTGATGCAACAGGACAATGACTCAAAGCATACAAGTAATTCAACAAAACAATGGCTGCAACAGCACAGAATATGCCTTCTGGAGTGGCCCAGTCAGAGTCCTGACCTCAACCCGATTGAAATGCTGTGGCATGACCTTAAGAGAGCGATTCACACCAGACATCCCAAGAATATTGGTACACTGAAACAGTTTTGTGAAGAGGAGTGGTCCAAAATGACTCCAGATCGTTGTGCAGGTCTGATCTGCAACTACAGGAAACGTTTGGTTGAGGTTATTGCTGCCAAAGGAGGGTCAACCAGTTATTAAATCCAAAGGTTCACATACTTTTTCCTCCCTGCACTGTGAATGTTTACATGTTATGTGCAATTAAACCATGGCAACATCTAATGTTTGTGTAGTATTATGTTCAGCAGACTGTGTTCTTCTATTGTTGTGACTTAGATGACGTTCAGAGCACATTTTATGCCCAATTCAAGCAAAACTCCACGTAATCCCAAGGGGTTCACATACTTTTTCTTGCAACTGTATGATATGTTCTTTTTTTTTTTTTTGTATGCAGCCAGTGGACTGAATGAAAAAATAAGAAGAAATCTCTGCCAGAAAAAGTGTGTGGTATGCCCACCATTAGAATATACCGCCCTGCATCCACCCACTTCTAATGGTGGGCACACATTAGGTCACACTTTGCCACAAGCGCCAGTTCCAAGATTGAATAAATGTCTAAATAGTGGCACGCTTGAATAAAAATTGTCCACGTATAAGTGGTACCTCATATGGAGAAATGATGACACCAAGTCCCAAACTATCTTGCCACTGCTCCCCATGTATTCTGGGCATCCGAGGGGCTCCACGTGATTATCTTTTCCCTCGCAAATCCAAAATTTTATACGTATAGCCTGTTGTCCTCTCACAGGTCTTCTACATCTTGACCCCATATCTGGCACGCTTGCTGGGGAGAAATTGTTTGAATGCAAGGCGGCCAGAAAAATTAATAAGGGACTCATCAACACAGATGTTTTGCTGGGGAGTATAGACATCTGCAAATTTTAGGTCAAGGTGATTTTGCAAGGGGCTGAATTTTGTGGAGCCGGTCAAATTCAGGGTCATCCCGAGGATGACAGTGTATTGTCGCTGAAATGCATAAAACACATTATACTCTCATATCTATGCCTGGCCATGGCAGCAGAGAACACGGCATATGATGAATCTGGTCTGCGGACCAATACAACCAAAATTGATTTCTTTTAGTAATGCCCATGTTGAGGGTTAGGCCAAAAAAAAACTAAATTTGAAAACCGTAATGAGTTTCCATGCGACTGGTCTGGCAAAGTTTAAATTTGGGTTGGCGGCAATAAATTGTTGTGCATATAAAATGCTTTGATCCACAATCAACGCATACAGATATTCCGTGAAAAACAGCTCCAAAAATCAAGGAGGTATGTGAAAGACCAGGATGTACTAGACTGCTGGTACTCGCCAGTTCACCAAAAGGTAGCGCGGCACTAATACTGGCACTCTGCTGCATATGAGAGTCATCAAAATTTACCAGAAAGTGCTAACAGAGATCAGGCCTGATTCTGCGAACACTGCAGTTTTGTGTGCAATGTATCACGTGACAGTGACCTACTGACACTGCACTTGCTGGGGGAGAAGGGGGGGTAAGCGTAGGGGCTAAACGCAGGTGTTGGCAGGTGCAGGGGCTGATCCCGCTAACGCTGCATTTTTGGGGACCCTATACTAATGTGAACGCTGGTATAGTGCTGACCTGATCAAAGATATTGACCCGTTCAGACATTATACTAGCAATGGAGGTTTTTATTGTACATGAGCGTGCTCCTGGCAATCAAGGGGTTAAATGTGATGACTGGTGTACTGACAGGCAATCTGACGCTATCTCGGAGGGGCGTGAAAACCACGGGAGCGCAAATCAAGTATATATATATATATGTGATTTTGCGTACCCATGCCGCCCTGTAGCAGTATTTCTGCTGTAGGGTGGTCAGGAAGCGGTTACAGAAGAGGTTTGTGTTACGGCGCTGCGTTACTTTAACTGACAATTGCGCGGTCATGCAACACTGCACCCAAATTAAATTTACATCCTTTTTTTCCCCACAAATTGAGCTTTCTTTCGGTGGCATTTGATCGCCTGTGCGGTTTTCATTTTTTGTGCTATAAAAAAAAGGCTGACAATTTTGAGAAAAAAAATCAATATTTTGGACTTTTTGCTATAAAACATGTCCAGTAAAAAAAATTAAAAAATCAAATTTTGTCACAAATTTCATCCAAAATGTATTCTGCGACATGTCTTTGCTAAAAAAAATCCCAATACGTGTAAATTAATTGGTTTACATGAAAGTTATAGCGTTTACAAATGGAGGGAAAGATACTTGGGTTTTTAATTTTTATTTATACTAATAATGGCGGCGATCAGCGACATATGGCGGCTATCAGCGACTTATGGCAGGACTGCGGCAGACATTTTGACACTGACATCCCCAGTGACACCAATACAGTGATCAGTGAAAAAAAAACCCACTGACACTGTACTAATGGCACTGGGGAGGAAGGGGTTAACATTTATTTTCACTGAAAGGGTTAGGGGAGTGTTTTACTAGGGGGCGGGGGTGTGTGCTGGACGTGGGCAGGCTGATCGGGAGAGAGAAACTCTTCTCTCCCTCTTCAGCTTGTCACGAGCTGTCAGGGAACTGACACAGAGCAGGGCTGTGTGTAAACAATGCAGCCCTGCTCTCTGTCAGCGATCACCGCTAATCCCGGGGAAACGGACGGTAATCACCGGCCGTGACCCAGCGGCTGACACCCGCTGCTGACACCCGCAGAACAGGTAGGGCAGGTGCGCGCTTCGCTCGCGCCCCTACAGGTTTTGCAAAACTACGTTTTAAAAAAGCCATCAAAAACGCAACACTTGCGTTTTTTGGTGTGCGCGTCCTTTGAGGTCTATTACGTGCAAAACACAATCTGCTGTAGAAAAAAGGTCCCTGACCCTTTCCAAAAAAGTGCACTGGCTCAAAACGCACAGATGTAAACTAGATCCACAGGAAACCATGTTAAATGGACTGTAGTTTGGTTCTACAAAATTCAGTAAAAATGCATTGGTGTGAACCAAGGCTGAAGCCTGCATTTTGTGACTTATTTGTAAACATGGATGCAGTGTGGACTAAAAACCAGAGATGGTGGATGCACCGCGAGGGCATTTGTTGTGTCCAGCAGAGACTAGATTCAGGTGTCTGCTTTCTGTTACAAATAGGCCCCTTAGTATGACAGAAGGCTTTTAACACAGTCCATGAGTACTTCCTATGATATAACATAAGTCTCTTGTTGAATTTCTGATGTCCTTCTTCTTCAGGTATCTGTGCTGGGATTTCTGTCTCTTGGTACGCATTCAATATTACCAAGGACTTCTTCAACCCACTGTACCCAGGAACCAAGTACGTATAGATTCCCCTAGCCAAGTATTAATGGTGTAATACAACTATGAAACACCAATTGCAGTGAGTAGTATGACTTCTCAAATTATTCCTCACTAGGTATGAAATTGGCCCGGCTCTTTATCTTGGCTGGTCAGGAGCTCTTCTAGATGTGCTTGGTGGGTCGCTCATGTGCTGCTCATATAAAACTCAGGTGGCCAAAGCCAAAAAGTAAGTATCCATTTTAATATCTTTATAAACATCTATTTACATTTTATTATCTTTATAAACATCTATTTATAAAAAGACAACCTTTCCTACAGTGCATGGCATTGGCTGAACTGCCAGAAGGCCGTTGCAGCATTTTGGGTTGAGGATGAGTTGGCACCTCACCAAACTGTTTAAAGTTTCCTGGTATACATTGGGAAAATTCCCCCCCCGTTCCTCCAGTGTTACGTTTCATGTTAAGCAGTTGAGTGACTTGAGTGGGCAAAAAATGTTTACTTTTAGACTGTTGGGTTCAAAACCCAGCAGGAGAGAAGAGGTCTGTACACACGAAGACTCCAGACTGCCTACAGCCA